AGAGAGAGAGAGAGAGAGAGAGAGAGAGAGAGAGAGAGAGAGAGAGAGTACTGCTTGATCATATCTTCCAATTAATTCCTGTAGCACATATGTGAGTGGGTGAGTATATTATAGTACCATATTTTTTATTTATTGATTTTTTTAGTAAATTAAATATCAGTTCCATTGCTCAATATATTTTTATATAGTTATTTTTTTTATATATAGTTATTTTTATATAGTTATTTAGCATATAAGTACCGTTGGTACGTAAATTTTTTTTCTAGTTACCATATTTTGGTAACATAATATTATTATTCTTTATGTTTTTTATGTTATACCTTGATAAAATATTTTCTTCTAGCATAATGTATAATGTAATCTACATAATAGATCTGCCTGTACACCAATTTATATTTTCTTTTTTGGTTTTATTTTAATCTTTAGAAACAAAAGCAACATGCATTCCTCGCTTTTGTCCTCAAAGTAAATATTTAATATTACTTCACCTCAAAAGCAAGCTTTGTCAGCGTGGTTCCTAGCTTCATTTGTTAACAAAGTTGTCTTCAAGATTCTCAATCACAAACAAGTTACTATTTATATACATGTACCAAGATCATCGACACTCCCATAATTACTAAGACCAAAACCACGAAATCCAAAAATGGCCATCAGCATCGATAACCAAGATGAGACATGGGTTATCCACTCGATTGTAGCCATGCCATCCCCTTCACCATCCCCACTAATCCCTAGAGTTCCAAAGATATTGGTGTGCGAGAAGAGCAATATTTACGAGAAATACTATGTTCCACAGGTTGTTTCCATCGGCCCATACCATTATGGCAAACTGAAGCTCCAGTTAGTCGAGAAACTCAAGTCTGATTTTACCAAGAAGCTCCTTTCACAATCGAAGTGTGAGGTTAATGTGTGCCTTAGCAGCTTGTACAAAAAGCTTGGGGAAGCGAACATGGTGAAGGAGTTAAGAAAGTTCTATGAAGAGAAATCAACAGACCATCTCTCCGATAAGGAATTCACTAGGATTATGTTGTTGGACGGTTGTTTTATTTTGTATTATATTCGATATATCTACGGGGAGAAAGCTGGAAGTTGTCGAGAGTTGAGAAGCCATCAGATTGTGTTAATCCACCAAGACTTGTTCCTGCTGGAAAACCAAATTCCCTTCAAAGTTCTAAAGGAGGTGATGGATTTGATAAAACTTGATAGGCGTGACAAGTTTCTATCATTCTTCGCTGACAACATTTTGTCACCGGGGAGGCAGAAAAGAGGGTGGTTCTATTTCCGAAGCGGCTCAACTCAAAAGGATCAAAATTCAGGACGAGAATCACAAGGAAGCTTTGAATTCGTAGGTCATAATCATCTGCTCCATCGTCTGCATTCTGGGCTTACGGCCGGACCAAGTCCCAAGAATGAATCCCACTGGATTCAAATACTTTCCTGTCGTCCTAAAAATAGCAGAATGGATGCAACAAGCAGCAGGTATACTTTTCGGAACGTCAGCGAGCTTGCAGATGTCGGTATCCATTTCAGGCCGAGTAGCGTTATGTCTTTGGCTCATGTGGAGTTTGTTGGACGGTGGTGGTGGTGGTTTTCAGCAGCGGTAAAACTCCCTCCGATAACCGTGGATGATTCCACCCAGCCCATGCTGTTAAACTTAATAGCCTATGAAATGTGCGCTGATGACGCACATGATGCGTGGGTTGCCTCCTACATATGCCTCCTGGATTCTCTCATCGATCATCCTGAGGACGTGAAGGCTCTTCGGAAATCTGGGGTCCTTGATAACTCCCTTGGGAGTGACCAAGAAGTCGCCACACTCTTCAACGAAATAGGCACCGGTTTGGTGCCAAACAATGAAGCATATTTGAAAGCTAAGAACCAAATCCAAATTCATTATGAAGACTTGAGGAACACATGGTGTTCCCAACTCTATCACGAGTACGTCAGGAGCCCATGGTCATTTCTAGCACTTGTAGGAGCTTTGATGGCTCTTTTTCTTAGTGCTGTTCAAACTTACTTCACTGTCTGGGGTCCCAAAGGTGAGTGAGATGATCTTAATTTGCATGTTTTTGAATATGAAACATTGGTTATAAGATCCAGCGATGATGATTCTTCTTTCTACATTTACTTTGTTTGTCTGTTATGGTCGTGCATGTTGTGTTGTGATTTTAAAAGAGTGATTGTTTATGTGTTGTGTGTGTCCACTTGTATTCGGCAACAATAACTTTTTCTAAATATATGATTTATGAGTAATATAATCATTAGCTGGTTAATGATGTCATCAAACTGAATAGGATGTCTGTTCTTGTTGATATATATTTACATTAAGGCTACTCGGTATGGGAGGCATTTCACGCGTCTTGGGTTGAGGTGGCAGCCTCTCCCACGCGTGAACACCGCCCCCAAAGCCGGTGGGTTGCGTGTGACGTGGCTCCGGAGACACAACGAGACGCCCAATCAAATTGCTCCATTTTCTAACGTTCGGAATTTTGTAACAAACGGCTATATAACCGTTTAAACATTAAAAAAAAATTTACTTTTTACAATTTAAACACAACCATCTACACCTATAAATTATCCACTATTCTACTTACAATTTACACTTCAAAAAACGCTCTCTATATTTTATTACCTTCTACAAAAAAACCTCATCTCTCATATTTTTTTTTCTCTCTACATGGATTCAAATTCAAACACCCCAAAACACTCCGAACACCCCAAACACTCCACATGCAAATGTTAGCTACATGCAATTGTTAACCTCCCCAATCCAACAACAACCTTTATTAACCACTTCATACCCCCAAAACTTCTACCAACAACAACCACAACAATTCAATCAACCACAATTCCAAGCCTTTCAACAACCTTCTCAACAATTTCAATAACCTTCTCAACAATTTCAACAAACTTCTTTTACACCTCAACAATTTCAACCATCTCAATCTCAACCTATAAATCTCGACAATGAAGACGACGACGAACGGGTCCAAGACACACAACAACCAACTCGTCGAAGGCAAAAAAAAAACCAAAGATCCAAGAAAAAAAACTACCGCATGAAACGAAGACGAAGAGGAAGCTTTAGCGAAAGCTTGGATTTTCATATCCCAAGACGGGGATGTCGCCAACTCACAATCGGGTCAAAGTTTTTGGTGTCGTATTTTAGATCATTTCCACGCGTTATTAGGAAAGAAAACGGAGCGGACGTACGACTCGATCAACGCAAAATGGCGTGACTTACGAGCGGCTTGCACCAAATTCAATGGTTTGTATTTTGTTTTTTATTTAATATAATGTTAAAAAAATAAAAAAAAAAGGAATTTGTGGAGTGGTAACCATTTCCAATGTTTAGTGGGTTGGTGGTGGGTTGGGTGTGAATCTGACGTGGCGCACATGTGACAGCACTTTTCCGGTGGGGTGGGTGTGACCACTCCCCATAGCCTAATATATATGTTTAATTTCTTGTTGCCAGAGTTGGTTTCCGTGTATATCTTTTTTGTACTTAAAAGTACATACATTACCAAAAATTCAATGAAAACAAATTGCTATTATGTAAAAGTGCATTTCTATGTACAATGGGTACAAATTTATACAAAGTTAAAGACTTAGTAGGGAATCTCTTTTGTCACTTTTTGCTAGGGTGTCAATTTATGATATGATACGAAAAGTAATTGGAACAAAATCGAAATTCGAATTCGTATCTATGTCGTGATCATGTCAAGTGTAAAACACACGATTTCGTGTTGTGTCGTGTTCATGTTTAAAATTCGACACAAAATTGACACGATTTAGCATGTGTTTGTCGTGTTTTTGTATTTGTCGTGTTATATCATATATGTGAAGTATAAATTAAATAAATTAATAATTGAATTGTTTTATGTTTGTCGTATTTTAATTGACTCGTTTTCGTATTAATAAAAATAAGCACGACATCGTGTCTTGTCGTGTCGTGTTTATGTTACATAAAACTTTGTCGTGTCGTGACAGACAAAAACACGGCACGGTTGCCCAATTTAACGCACCTACTTTTTTTTTCCTGTGTTATGTCATTCTTTCTATATTAACTCATATGGAAAAACCGGTATATAACTTATCAAATTAATTAACTCATATCCTCTTTAAGTCCATTAAATTAAATAAATATAAACATAAACATTAGTTCGCTTGTATGATTCAGTTACAATGTTAGCATTAGGGGTGACCCGTCATATTTGTTTAGGAACCAGAACGAAAAACGGAACTGGCGGTTCCTAAAATGTTGGAACTGAAATTGGAATCAATGATACCAATTCCTAAAATATTGAAACCGAAACGGAACCAGACGGTAACGATTCTAATACCACATACATGATTCGTTTGTTTGGTTTTTTTGTACTTTCAAAACTTAAAAAAAAAAATTTAAAAAACTATATCTTTTGCATACTAATTACAAGAAATTTATAAATAAAATCAATTTGTAATTCATTAGGCTGGACGGTATGGGTGAGGGAAAGAGTGAGAGAAGCTTTCCATCACAGCTGAACACCACACCTTGATTGAGGGAAAGGTGATGAGGGAAAGAAGTGAAGGAGCCTATTCCCTCACTCTCTCTTCTATTCCTATTGACCAACTTTTTTTTTTTTTTTTTTATCTTTTTTAATACCTATTAAATTATATACCTACTAAAAATTATAAAAAAATATATCAAAACTTATGGTTTTTAATTTCCTACAAAATGAGTATAATATTTATAGGAAATATATTTAAAATAAAATTAAAAAAAAATAATGAGAGAAGTTTTCAACCCATTCCTTCGGTTTAGGTGAAAGAAAGAAAAGTGAAGGAAATGATGTTGTGGCCCACAAAAATGAGGAAGTTTCCACCCGCACCTCCGGTTTAAGTATCAACTATCAATTGGATAAACACAATCTGGTGGCTTCCCGTAGATAAACAGAATATAATACAAAATAAAACATCCATGGAGCAGCATCATCTTAGACCTTATTGGAGAATTGCTCAACTAAATTCTCTTCATAGAACTTTCTTAACTTTTGCACCATGCTCGCTGCCCCAAGCTTTTCGTACAACGTGAGCTCCTTCGTGAAAACAGGCTTGAGTTTCTTGACTAACTCGATCTTCTGGTGATTATGATGATAACTAATAACCACAAAACATTCAACTTGAACTAAAATCAACAACAAATGAACACCAAATATACCTTTACTGAGAACCGTTGTGAACTGAAAATGTAAGATTTAGAAGCAGAGGATCCAAACTCAATTATCGCAGCAGCATGAAGTGGCCCAGACGAAATTAATTTCTGAGATCAATACGATCTTTTTCTAAAGGTAAAAATCATGAAAATAAACTTATATATATGTGTGAAAAGCACGTCTTTCATTTTATGAATTAGGACAATTCGACATATAAGTTACCTTCAAATTGCTTAGCCTCTTTACAGTTGCAGGATTAAAACAGAGGAGCACAGTAAAACTGTAAAAGAAGAGACATTAAGAAAAAAGAAGGAATAAAGAGACTATATTCCCGTTGATTAGTTGGGAAATGGGGACGTCAATCTAAGATTAATATAAGAAACAAATCAAAATGATAAAAAATAGTAAAACAGTAAGATTTGGTTAGGGTTTAGAGAAATAATCGAGATTATTGCGTAAAAAGACTATGTAAAGGATTACCTAAGTCGGGTTCTGATGAGTGCTTGCCACAATCTCCAAGAATTTCCTATGGTGAAGGGTGGTGTACATTCAGTTTATTACAACTTTGGTTAAATATTAAACTATTAGTCTTATTTTTATATTGAAATTATGAATTCTTCAAATAAATAAATAAATAAATAAATAAATAAATAACTATAGTAACAGAACCAAAAATTATGATACTTTAAAGTTTTAGTGATTTAATAGCCTTATAAATATATTGGAGTTACTAATATTATTTTTTCATAAGTGGACATATAACGACCCCGTCAAATTTTTAAGATAAAACCTACATCTCCGACATGTTTTTCAATTTTCCTTTTGAAATGAAATTAGTTAGAGTTTATTATTTTACTAGGTGTGAGACCCGTATACTATACGGGTTTATTATAAATAAAAGTTTAATATCAATGTATAAATATTAAATATTTAAAAAAAAAATACTTTTACACAAATGCGAACGATATAATGAATAAGTAATTAATTCAATCTATACTAATAAAAAACTATTGACATATTTTAAATAATGATGTTGAAAATTAAAGTGTAAAATTAAATATTTCTTAAATTAACTTTCGAAATAAATACAAACGAAATCATGAATAATTAGTTATTGAATATATACTAATAAAAAACTATATTGACATATTGTAAATAGCTGTTATGAATCAAAATTTTCAAATAATTCTATAAAGATGGTGTTCTTTTTCTATTATTAGGATAGAGATAGAGATGTATTATACACACATATTTATTTATAAAATTTAAATAAATAATAAATTTGTTAGAATTCAAATTAAAAGTCCAAAAAATTAAAGGTATGTTTTGAATTCAAATATATCATCAAATACACGACATTAATTGTGTCATTAGGGCATCCATTTGAATTCAAATGTATTTGTAATTAATAAACATTTAAGTAGAATGAATACTTTATATATATAATGGTAGACTCATTAATTAGTGGAATTGATAACTATTGATTAATAAAAAAATAAAGATACCACATAATGACATGTGATATTTAAATAATTATAAAATCATATATAATGACATGCGACAAAGAAACTGAAAAGTGCCAAAAAAAACTTTAATTTATTAGAGAGAATTATCATGATTTAACAGGGCATGTTTAGGTAGGGCATATATGGACATAATAGTTTTTTTTTTATTATTTTTTTGTTTAAATTTAGATAGAATGACTTAACATGGTAAGCAAAAAAATTGAAGAATATTGTTAAAAGTTGTTTGTTCGAATGGAGATATGATCAGGACCGGTCCAAGCCAATTTGAGGTCCAATACGAAATAGAAAAATGAGGCCCTTTTTCAACCTTCAAAGTGGATGGAATG